AAAGTCCTTCCTAAACAAACTGCAGTCCAAACCCAGCTTTCTAGATGAGGTTATTGATCTGTTTGCCAAGAAAAACAGAAGAATCGAGCTGAATTATAAACAATAAAGTAAGCATTAATTATATTCCAGGTTCACAACCCTGTCATTTGATGGCTATAAAATTGTGTTGATAATTATGTGTTATTTTAATATATTAGCTTAAATATACAATACATATTAAACTATTAGCTGTTTTCTTTTAAATAGAAGATAGAAACTATAGGGTATGTAGAAAAAATTTATATACACGTATATAAAGTTGCTTCCCTGCTTTCGGTAGTCATGCTACGCCACTGATGGTATAAGACCATGCATTGCTTTATATTGGATTGTTGGGGGATGCCATCCTCGGTTCCTAGCTTCAGCAGGGGGACAATGATCCTAAGATGATTGTATTAAGGTCTTGTGTATCATTTTGTACATTTTTAAGATTTATTGACTTGTAGTAGTAGTAGTGTTTTAGATGGCTTAAACTGACTTGTCTAGTTGTACTTGTGTAACAGTTTATGGATGTAAATAAATTATGAATTACTCATCATCCTTCATGTTTATGCACACAGTAATATATGAGTATGAGGGTGAACCATAAAAACCAGCCCTCGAACCGCAACCTTCAATGATCTATTGTGCTTCACAGTAATGTAAGTTTCATATGCAGAATAGCAGGAAGAAAGAAAGGGAGAAAAAAAAAGAACATCTGTATGCAGTAATGGATCATTCCTTTAGTCAGTAACTGCTCATACTTGAGACATTTTCAATGTTTTCACAAATTACATGTGACTGTAGATGGGGTATGGATTGGTGAATGGATTTACTGACCACTTATACCCAACAGCTGTACACACTACAATATTTTGTAGTACTTTTGGCAATTTGCTGCCTACAGTTCAAGACATATGTCTGATGTGCATATTTACATCCCATGCAGTTCAAGCCACCTGACTTGTGCACTGCAAGTAATAGCAGCAGTATGTGGCATATATCCATGGTAACTGAATATACTGACACCATGACAAGGCACATTTTTAGGTTGCAGTTAATATGGCTTTCAGGTATGAATGGTGGTTATGAAGATACCAAATAAGTGTCACAGGCGGCTGACAAAGCATGATGTTTCAGCTTGAGAGACTCAATGTATGACCAACAACTTTGCCATTAAAATATTCTGTTAACAGGACCATTTTGCAAAGCTGTGGAACTGGTCAAATATTTTATGATAACTTGGATGATATCTGAATGACTTTTGGTACAAGGAATGTTAAGATTCATACAAAAGTGTAATGGTACTTTCACAATAGTACACACAGCCCAAGAATTGTTCAGCAGCATTCCCTGAATAAAATATTACAATCTGATATTCCATTAAAATAAGATGTAAGAATGAAGTGTAACCACACCCTGAAGGGCATGTGAATTCTGTATGACTGGAATTATGCCATGTCTAAATAAAACCAGTAAACTAACTTCATTTAAATAAATTTAGTTCTCTAGAACTTCAAATCTCTGTGGAATCAATAACCTTCTTATGTAAGATTTGAGGCTTTCACGGCGGTGACTATGAAGAAAGCAGTCTTCTGGGATTTGGTGCAGACTGCTTTACCGTGTCTCACGGTGTTGTCGCTTGCAGATTTACCTATACTTTTTCTTCAACCCTGAAGATGGGGGCGATACGTTCCTCCGAAACGTCGGTTAACACCACATATACACGGCGCCAAATCCCAGAAGACTGCTTTCTTCAATAACCTTCTTATTCTGACTTTTGCATGAACCCAGCAATTGGTTATAAACAAAATGCATGAACATGAATTGATCTGAATCTATTCAAAACTGAAGCAAGAATGAAAATTTTGTGACCACAGAGCATGTCATTAGGGTTTTATTGCATAAAACACTTGTCTGAATACATCCACATAAATAATATGCCACTAACAGCAGATGAATGGGGAAGCATGTATTCAACAATCTGCTGCATTTGCTATATACACATCTCTTTTGCCTCATTCATGTACTAGATAACAGTAACCTAACATACCCACATACATGATATACTAGTGACAAAATACTAAGCCTGTGCAAAAGGGAAAAAGGAAAACCACCCTTTAGACACGGTTCACAGCAAAGCTAAGTACAATTTCTGTTGAAGATTTTTTTCTATAACGTACAAACATTTGAAAACTAAACACAAGAATCAATAAGGACAATAATCTACATTCTGTACACAATATATAAACTATAGTACACTTATAATGAAACTGTTATAATACAAATTATAATTACAAGGCTACTGAACATATTTTACAGATCAAACTCTCCTGTTGGGAATCTGGTAGGAAAAATTAATTCTGTATAATACCCTCCTATGTAATTAAAATAAGACTTGGTATAGGAGCACATGATTTTATAAAACCAATGTATCTCATTTTCAGTACTGAATTCTGTTGCTCTGAACTTGTACCAAATATATGATACTTCTTAATGAACATATTTATACAGCCTAAACCATATTTACTTTTATACCATGGTGCTTCGGTTCAAAATGTAAGCTATTTCCATGATACTTCTGATAAATCTCAACTCTTATTAAGGTACTTTTTATATTATAAAATGACTACAAATATTGCCTATTTCTAGTGTGTGAATAATCTGAAAGTGCATGTAATTGTATGTATTAACCATCTAGCAAGCAGGATATACAAATATGAAATCAGAGCAATTCAGTTTATATCCTCCATATTCCCACACCAGACATACTGATTTGGAAAATATTAAACAGGACCATTGTTTTAAACTTTATCTTTGCCACAGTGTCACTGTTATGTGCATATAGGACTCTCATTAATCATATGGAGGAAAGAATGAAGCAACATAAGACACTTCAAAACTAAATTATCTAAAGAATGGCATATTTATATATGCACACAAAAAGGTTACTTCCTAAATTAGTATGAAATTCTATGAACACAAAAAATTACCTATGAATGGAGAATTAACACCATCCTTTGCATAGTGCTGTGTTACAATTTTGTGAATTATAAGATAAATAAGTGTGAAGCTACAAGGAGGTAATGTATGCATTCAACTCTCTGATTTCCATGTTGTGGATCTGATAATAGTGCTTAAGTTGGGAATGAATCAGTCTCCCATTATGTACAAACAGATTACTGAACAAGACAGCAATAACCAAGAACTAGGCACGCGGTTGGCAGTTCTGAAAGAACATCTGACACCATGCAGTCTTCAGAAAGACTTATCACATGTTGAACACCCAAACTGAACAGCAAGGATTTCAAATACATACAAGGGTGCATGAGGCCTTTACTGTATGACTGTTAAAACACACAAGTACCTTAATGCCTTATAATCACCAAAAGTATTGTGTGGTTTCACATCCACAACCACCTATATATTTTGCACATCACAACTTATTAATAATAGTCTTGTTTATGAAGCACATTCCTCTCCTTTTTTAACCAATGTACTTCTAGGAAGAACTGCATCTTTCCCATCTTGTTTCAAAAAAGACAGTAACTTCTAAATATACTGTGGCATATAAAAAAAAATCAGTGTTTCTTACTTGAAATCACTGTCACAGCAAGGGAAAAGGTCAAACACATAAAGAACAACAGCAAAATGTCTCAACTTTTGTAAACTTTATCACTTTTTATATATATTGAATAAAACCATATGCATTAGTTCTAGAATTTCCTTTTTGCTAAAAAGAAATGTGGAGGAACCACACTTCAAGCAGTAGTGACATGTTTCTACTAACATGTTCCACCTGCAGTTTGTCAGTGCTGCATGGTTTTTGATCTTGTAATTATTACCCCTTCTTTTTACATCACATGTGCATAAAAGGCAGTTACAGAATCACATGTGAAGTCTGTCCATTCTACTATACTTACATCATTCACATGTTGCTTGGAAATAAGCACTGAGTGTTATGATATTAGTGTAGAATGCAAGCTGGAACTTGATAGAAACATTGTCAATGGCAAATACAGTTACACTGAAGAGAGAGCTCTTTCAATAATGCAAGTCACTAATAACTTTGCATGGAACAATACCAACATAATCATAATCCAGGTTCTGATTATATTTTGAAGTTTACAAAATGTTCTAGGTTCATTATTTCATCATTACCCATACAAGGTTATCAGCAATAAATATTTATCTTCCCATGCATCAATATACTCTGCATACTGGAATAATTATCTTTCCTTATTAGGAACAACATTAACAAAACATTTACATATAGGACAAAATGTAAAACAGGTGTAAATAATTTTTATCCTCCTCAAAGGAAATTATGTGATTGGAGATCATGCTCCCATTCACTCAGTTGCTAAAACGTGTTGCAGCAGGTAACACAACTAAAGATCCCAAATATGAAACTAGATTACTCATTTCCTAATATGCAGATGCAGCAAGGAAAATGTGAAGTTGTAATTAATGTAATCAGCTTTTTTTTAACTGGAAAATAATATGTCTATTATTAAGAGACTGTACTGTTATGATTTTCATAGTTTCATATTGGTTTGTGGGAAGTGTGACAGTGTGTTCATAGGACAAAGCTCGTTGATGTCCATGACAACAGAGGACAGTTCAACGAAGATCAGGATTGTCGTTGACCTGTTTCTTTATGCGTAACAGTATAGTTGTATACCACTGGTCTAGCCGTGAAATTGAGTCATAATCCTTCACTGCTTCAGTGAAACCATCCACATTCTGCTCCTCCATGTGATCAATCAATACCTGAAATATATTCATGAAAAAATATTTGGCAGTCTCAGTTAAATTACTAAATACTACTACTTTTTCAATCCTGTGAATTTCAGATGTGGAATATCTTTCAATATTTTTTTAGCCTAAACAACTAACACTTTAGATGCTTAATAATTATTGGATGATCAAGTGTAAAGGTCTGAGTATGTGTGTTAATTTACTAAGAAGTTACAGAACACTGTTCTAAAGTTTTAATTTATGATTCAAGTACATGAATTCCTCTTACCTTGAGCAGCTTATATTCTCGTGAATCCTGAAAGGCTGGATATAATTCCTGGTAATGCTCCAAGGCATGCTGAGCATTCAGGACATCCACACATAAGTGACACAGGGCTGCCCGGAAAAAGTATTCCTTGCAGCTGTACTTCAGAAGAGAACTTTCCAAAGATGAAGATGCCACCTTACAAATGCAATAACAACAATTTATGAATTATCTCCCTATGGATAAGTATTGCTGGAGTGAGTGAATCCTCACATGATAAGAAACACCTGCCAGTGTGGTCAATATGTACAATATAATGTTAATAAAACAAATGTAAAGATTAAAAAACTGTTAATTCAAAAAGAACTGTTCATTCCTTAACTGTTGCGGTTGACATATGTCAATCTCTGAAAAATATGGCATCCTTGTTGCAATCGACAAAACCAGTATTGGGACTTCATAGTTTCAATCTCTAGTTTCTTTGCACTATTCTCATTCAAACTTGGCAGGTGCATAGAGTCATCTATTGGGAACGTAATGAAGCATGATTCATTTCAATGGCTGCATTCTTCTGCCCTCTAGCTTATGAAATGTAAAAGGTTGCATCTGTGAAGCAAGGCACGCGCTCCGTGGTCATGTGGCATGGGTATTTCACAGGGCTAGTTAAAATGGCTTCGTATAGTGCGTGGTGCTTTCTATAATAGTTTTAAATAAAGTTGTGGACTTTGGTCAACATGTGACATAGCAATAAGGCTCGGATAGTGAATTATGTACTTTTTTTGGCCATCCTGGACAACCCTGATTTAATGGACTTCTTCCCTGTGAAAAATACTGAATAATTCAACATTTTTGCAACTTCTGATGCCTGTTCCCTGTCTGAGGTAAGATTAGTTACATCTTATCACAAATCTTCATACTTTGCACTTAAATTATTTAGAAAAGATTTCTTAAAAAATAATTCAGCAGAGGGTACTGAGAGTTACTTAACAGTGAAAGGGTTAATATATGACAATTTAGTCATTTACTACAAAATTCAAATTAATGAAAATTTATATGTACCAAATATGAATTTAATTCCCCTGATGTATTTTTATGATCAATGTAACAAGCTCGAAGTTTATATGGCATGTCTAGTGGGGGGGGAAGTAAAGCTGTCCCTGTAACAGGCCATGAAGGCCCATAGGGGTGTGAGAAATTGAGGCTCCCACATGGCCATAAGGTTGTCAGCCTTGTGCACTGGCTGCCCTTTACCCCCCAGAAAAATTCCTCATACTCATTTCTGTTACAGGCAGATTCAATCCCAGGGCTATAGTGTGGCTGGAAGGATTAGGTCAACTGTCAATTGAAAAATTCAATGACCTCATCGGGATTCAATCCTGTGACCTTCCAGCTTGTAGCATAGAAATCTGAAAATCATTAATCTGTAGAGCAGAGTAGAGTAGATATACAATGTCCAAATATCTGGAGGGGCGGGCACGGAATAAAACATCAATACTCATGTAGTATAATGGAGTCCTATACTCAACACAAAATGTAGTCTAAGAGGTATACAGGTTGAATGTGACAGACAAATTGATACAGAATACAGAATTCTTACAGGGAAACTTCTTGGAATGAAGTTACCTGGAAGATCAGGCTCTGAAAAACTGTTCCTGTGTGTTTGAATTTAGTTTTGCTCATGTTGCTAACACTGGTTCTAGCCTGCCAACCATGTCAGTTCCCTAAGATCAATCTTAGTATGATCTTTATTTATTTATGTCAACATGTTGCTGTATGTCCATAATGTTAAAAAACTTGTGGACTGTAAAATTCTAGTCTGTAAAACTTCCATTAACTTTCACAGGCCTTATTTGGCAGACAATATTTTGTCAGTAAATCATACACTGGATACAAAGTGTTTGCTGGGCACTTACAATCACTACCTCACCTGTTCATATATCTGTATTGCCTTATCATAGTTTTCAAGTTGTGCTGCATACTGAGCAACTTTCAGCATGCATTTGTTGGCTGATGAATTGCTTTCTTCTCCCTTGAAGTAATCAGCAGCCTGTTCATAATGTTGTACAGCACGATCAAGGTCTACAGCTTCTGTTTCATATAATTCTGCAATTGACTGATGGTGTTTTGCTGCCATTGTGAATCTCCCCATGTCTGTATAGATCTCAATAGCTTTCAACAAGCTGTTCACAGCCTCTGTAAATAATAAACAAAAATATATTACTGAATTTGTCCATCTTAATTAGGAGGGAAATTAGATTCAAAAGGTTTTCATGACAGTGTATAACACTTGGGATTACTGAGTTTCTGGACTCTGTGAATAATCCAGTTTTCTGAACAACAGTGTTTCAGAAACTGGATCTGTTTCCGTCCTTAGGTGAAAGGGTGCGAGGCATCTACTCTGGTGGGTCCATTAGAAAGAGCTAACCTCAATTATTGGGCAACCTAAATAAGTAATACTACAGACACCAGTGCTACATATGCTAATATAACCTAAAAAGTTATAGGCTAGGTATTCTAATTGATATTCTTCATAGTTTTCTTCAGTCCCTCATGCAAAGTGATGGAACCACATCCTTCCCTTCTGATTCATCATTCATAAGAGCCCTAGAAATATGCTCATCTGGTCACCCGAGGCAAGTATAATTGACACTGCTGGAAAGCACATTCCTGCCTCAGTCTAACTGTATAAACAAGTGATTTGTTAAGTAGCTAATGGATTAAGTAGAAAATCTACAATACAAGGACTATGTATCCTTGTCGCAGAATATGAGGTTTTGTAATTACTACACCTAAAAAACTATTCTAACTTAGTAAGCGGCCTCCGTAGTCTAGGGGTAATGTTCCCACCTCATGACTCACGGTACGCGGGTTCAAACCCGGCGGGGGTCATGGAATTTTTAAGGGTGGAAAAATTCAGGGAACAAGTCCTCTGGGAGGGACTTTAAGCCGTGGGTCCCGTGTTGTAGATTTACGGCACGTAAAAGAACCTCATGTCTCTAGGAGGCCTCTGAGCAAAATTTGGCCAAAAATTTCCCGCCCAAAGTAGTTTCCAATGCCTCTGGTAGATGGGGGAAGTATTGGTACCACTGCCACAGGAGGGGGGACCTCTCTGACAGAAAGGGACTAACTATCAGATACCACTGCCAGTAGAAGGTTGGAACCTCGCTGGCAGAAAGGGACTGATAGTAAGCACCAGTACTGGTAGGGGATGGAGACTGTAGAAATTATAAAGGGGGATGTACAATAGACTATCAGTCGTGGTGCATGGGGAAACCCACCCCCTCAATACTGAATACTGAATAATTCTAACTTAGTAGGTTCTAAAGGGTTCTCATGATGGTGTATAACAGGGATTTACTGGATTTTTGGACTTTGTCCATCATCCGGTATTCAAATGGCACAGTGCATCTATAGCATTCCCTGTGAATGTGGTAAGAGCAACATTGGTGAAACAGGCAGCTCTGGGCACATACGCACAATCTCAAAGAGGGTCTTCTAGTAAAATCAAAATTAGCCCAACATGTCTATGAAGAGAGTCATAGGGTAGGCTGGGATGATGTCAGGATTTTGGAAGCTGTAAGTAACAGCAAGTTTAACCTTTAAGAGACTAATGTCACCATACAGCGTCATTTAAAGTACAGCCGAGTGGCCATGCATCACCGTATGGGTACCTGCAATCCACACATGTGCATAGTGTTTTAAAATCTTATTTTAAGATAGAAATTCTTGTTCTACTTACACTATTTTTGGACACCAGCTTTATAAGTAGACTGTCTTCCCTCCTGCATCATCTAACTGAATGTTGCATGTCACTGAATGCAGAGTCCGACATCGCAATTCATGCACTTTGTCCGTAATTAACTCTTGTTTTCCACGCAAAGCGCGCACATGCAATGTTAGTCTCATATTAACAGGAAGTAGGCCAGTGATGGCAAGTGGTCTCCTCTATTCATAACACTTATAAAACATCCCAATTTCAACTATGCACCATGGCCCCTTTTCGCATTGAAGCAGTCGAAATAAAGAAGCCGCTCGTAAATCAAACCGGTCAGAATGCGGTACATAAGACTGAAAGCACGTAGAAGAAAGGGGCCATGTGCAGGGCTTTCTATATTATTTTTGGACACCAGCTTTATAAGTAGACTGTCTTCCCTCCTGCATCATCTAACTGAATTTTTCATGTCACTGAATGCAGAGTCCGACGTCGCAATTCATGCACTTTGTCCGTATGTAACTCTGTTTTCCACGCGAAGCGCACACACGCAACATCTATCTCATATTAGCAGGAAGTAGGCCAGTGATGGCAAGTGGTCTCCTCTATTCATAACGCTTATAAAACATCCCAATTTCAACTATGCACCATGGCCCCTTTTCGCATTGAAGCAGTCGAAATAAAGAAGCCGCTCGTAAATCAAACCAGTCAGAATGCGGTACATAAGACTGAAAGCACGTAGAAGAAAGGGGCCATGTGCAGGGCTTTCTATATTATTTTTGGACACCAGCTTTATAAGTAGACTGTCTTCCCTCCTGCATCATCTAACTGAATTTTTCATGTCACTGAATGCAGAGTCCAACGTTGCAATTCATGCACTTTGTCCGTATGTAACTCTGTTTTCCACGCAAAGCACACACAGCAACATCTGTCTCATATTAGCAGGAAGTCAGCCAATGTTGCCGATTTGCCTTCTCTAATCATAACGCTTATAAAACATCGCAATTTCAACTATCCACCATGGCCCCATTTCACATGGAAAAAGGCGAAGTTAATAGGCAGCTGATAAATGTCACCAATTTAGAATGTGGTACACAAGACTGAAAGTACATAGAACAAGGGGCCCGTAGAACAAGGGGCCAAGTGCGGGCCTTTCTAAGAAGCTCAACAGTACTTCTTGTGTGGCAGATAGGTGTATACACAGACAGTGCCTCTGAGGGACGTGACCTCACTCCTGTATATACAGAAAGGTTGGGAGTGCTATATAAGCATAAACATTTCTTCCCCTTTGGCTAAGATAACGCAGTACAAGTATGAATGATGTCACCAGCAGGCATTTATACTGCAGAAACGTTTTGTGCATAAACTGACTGCATATTTGTGGACAGACGCTTAAAACTGGGAAATTTTTTTTGGGATCAGTGTAACAATTTTTACAGATTCTAAAATCTGTAAATTACAATATCTGATTCTATATTCTTTCTAGATAAAAGCAGCGTTTATTTCGTTCGTTATCACAAAAACTGTAGAAATCACAGCATTTTGAGTAACATGATTACAATTTTTATTACTCTACAATGGCGGGCATCTAAATTAATTCTGTCCCGGTGCCACTACCGGAATTTAAATGGCCCGTCCGATAAAGGTTAAGAAATACAAGGAATCAGCCCACATACACTGCATGCTTAACCAATCTGATCAGCCAACCCAGTTTGGACATTTCCTCCATTTGGATCCTCCTTATCAGCAATGAGACTACCAACTCACAGAGAAGATCTGTATGATGTGACATTCTTCATGAGTTTCTATTAAAAGGTTTTGGTCCTGAGTATTTAGTTTTACTCCACAGATTGTGCTAGTGGTACGCACAAAATGGTTTCACAGATTCTCCATTTAATCTTATGCACTGGTTTTCATGGTTAGCTTGGTTAGTTGGATAAAATGTTCACTGAAAACTTACCTACCTAATCATTGTTTTTATAAAGTGGATGAGTTTCTCTCGTGTGAGACAAACACTAATCAATTATAATCACATAATTCATGAATAATCGGTTTTTGGAATCCCTACTGCGCAGTTTTCCTTTCTTTCTTCCAGCAACCAAGATAACACAGTCGGAGATGTACCTGAATGGGCTATTCTGAAGAGATTGCAGATGCCAAGAAGCTGCACCAGGAAGGGAGAACAGATGTAATGAGATGTTGCAGTGTAGAGTCTACAGTGAAACGTTATACCAGTGGTATCACCAAATTCACCTATTATCTCAAAGGCCGCGCCATAGATTAAGCAGTTAGTCGCTGGCTTCCCACCGATGTGGTCTATTCAAGTGGGATTTGTGATGGACAAAGTGGCGCTGGGGCAGGTTTTCCCCGAGTACTTCGGTTTCCCCTGCCAATCCTCATTCCATCAAATTCTCCATAAGCATTCTCACCAGTACAGGTACAATAGGACATATGGACGCCTAAGTGCCAAGGGGACCTAATATGGATTCCACCTCACACTATATGAAATCTTAAGTATTGTAATCTATTGTAAACAATTTCAAGTATTGTAACTTTATTCTCTTATTGTAATCAGCCAATGTACAGTAACTGACTTGTCCTATATCATGTAACAATGATCTATAGAGACGAAATAAATAAATAAATATTCTACTTTCAGATCTGTGCGTGCCTTATCACAGTTCTCACTACATATTTTCCTGTTATCTTCCTTTAACAAAGCCTGGTCTCAGGTATTTATATAGCTGTAGTTACACTGACAAGGGTTATCCAGTGATCAAGATTAGCTCTTTCTGAGGTACCCAACAGAGGAAGTGCCTCCCGCCCCCTCATCTGAGGGTGGAAACAGAGTCAGTCAGTTTGCCAGATGATGGGCAATGTTAAATAAAAAACAGTAATTCTGAGTATTCTGACTTATCCACTCTCACTAATCTCTTGGTTTTATTTAAGGCTACAAGCCCTAAGACAAACCATAATGTAACTGGTCACTGTACTGTAAAGATATTAGCCTAGTATATCATTACTATTTCTGGAGCCCTGTTTATGACAGCATAACCTCAACAATCCAAACAGCATGTAAAACTAAATGAACATACAATCAATAACAAACCATTCCCAACCTATGCTCAAACCAATAATGAACAGAATGTGTGGAAATGCTGTGAAGGAGTTTCCAGACAGAAGTTGCACCAAATGGAGGGACAGTATTAAACACTGTCTTAAAACATGAATGAAGTAATCTCTACATCAAAATGGAATTCTTAGAAATATCCACATAAAACAATAATTTATCTGAACTACCGAAGAGATCTGATGTAACTTTAATTGTTTCTTGCATCCTGTTGTGTATTTAATCAATATTAGAGTCAATTTTACCGACCACACAACATATTTTTATTATTATTATTACACTACATGTTTCAACCTCAAGAGGTCATCCTCAGGTGTACGAATACAGCTGTATAATTACATGCAATCACACCTGTGTTCATACACCTGAGGATGACCTCTTGAGGTCGAAACATCTGATGTACTTTATAATAGCTGAAATACCACCATAAACAGTGTACATCTTCATGCTATGCCAATATGCAATTTAAATAATTGTAACTAACCAAACAAACAGTGTACACCACTGATAAGAGTTATCTGCATTCAAAGCTTTGCAATTGAAGGAGTTGTAACATATATCATTAATGACTGATTTCTCTGCCACTCATAAACATAACCTCCAAACATAAGAAGCCACTAGAGATTTGATATCACATTATGATGGAGGCACAAACATACCTGAAAGACTGAAACTAAAACAGAAAATATTTTATGTAAATGTAAGTCAACAAATAAATTAGGGTGGTGCTAATACAATTATGGTAATGGATAACAACAGGCCTCACCATTAGGATCAGACTTCTTAAAGCAATTTGCAGCATCCACATAATTGGTTGCTGCATCATGTTTGTTTCCTGCTTTTGCATGGAGAGAAGCTGCTTCACAGAAGGCATTTCCTGCTGCGCCCCATTTTTTTGCCATTTTAAACATATTTGCTGCTCGTTGATAGCATTCCACCGCCTCTTCTACTTTCGAAGATCCACTGAAATATAGTAAATTATGACTGATCTACTTATATGCATCATAATACAAGATAACCAGACCGTGTACAATACGGACTTGTAAGACTTCTCGCAAAGCAGACTATACACAAATGCTATTCAGATTACTCTCGAGTCATTTAAGATTAACTTTAACGATCTAGCGTTGAAATGTGGCTTTAATATAAGCGTCTGAGACTGCAATTCCAAGACTCATGAAATTGTCAACCTAAAACAAATCTCCTGCGACTGCGATAATTACCCAAATAATGATCCAAAAAAGCCTTTCGACGAACTTAATTTCTTTTCTGCCTCTGCCATCAACTGCATAGCTTTCTGCTCGTTATCTGCCATTTTTTTTCACGTAAAAATGTCTTACAAATTTCACTTATACAGTCTTCTACCACTTGCTTATTGACGAAATGTATTGTATTTCAACCACTAGAATGCACTAGCGATCAAAGTGACAGCGCAAGTTCAAAGATGACGTTCAGGCACAGGTAGGCAGGTAGGAACATTCATACGTGACTCACCATGGAAGTGACGAAAGCTCTTAGCATTATTTGATTCGCAGTTGCGATTGGTTGCGATATCCTTCACGGTAACTCACGGTGATAGAGATGGGGAGAACTCCAAAACGTCGGATGACAATTCAATATTCACAAGAAGCCATCATTACTTTTTTTTTTTTTAATATTTGCCCCCACTATTGAATGAAGACGCGTCCGTCCTCATAAATTTGTCGCCTACTACACGGGTTGCTACGAAATTTAGTACGAGGTGTATACAAGAATTTCTTGGGCGAACTTAATTTTAATGCGTGCCGATCGATTACTTTACACGAAGCTCAGACTGAACACGAACACTGAAACAAAAAAAAATTTAGTACAGCAGAAAAGGTCGTCATCCTTGTATTTATGCCATTAATTTTCATCGTACAGATTCATGGGGTTTGTACAATAAAGGGGGATCTTGATCGCATCCCAGCCCTTGAAGCCCTAATTTTGTTGAAAATATTAATGTTACACCAAATTTTCTGCTCCTCTTTGGTGTCCATCGAGTTTTTTAACTATCAAAATCCATATGCCTTTGTGCCCTCTTGCTGTAATTGTGACGTTCTTGAGTACATAAGAATACTGATGAAAGGAGGTTTGTGATACAAAATAGTTTAATTTTGTAAAATAAAACAAGCAATGACTGAAGAATACTGTCTTCTGGGATGTGACGCTGTGTAATGAGGTGGCAGTACACTGACGTTTCGGAGAAACATAATATACTGCGAAATTTCAATAAACTTCTAGTAGGCTACACTGCATCACACCCAAGAAGATACTAGTCATTACTGAAAGAACCTCATATAAAATAAGAAATGAGTGGTTCTTACAATTTTCTCTGTTGATAACAGACTATGACAGCTTATAACAAGTTTAAGGTTGGTGTTGGATGAAATGATGGGGTACAAGAATATAAAAATGTGATGTATAATCTCATAGGAGGTCTGAAACTCAACTATGCTCAACCCTTCTCAAGAAACCACCAGTTGCACAGCTACTCAAAGATGTTGCAACATTTAATGGAACCTGAAGGTTCATTACCATGTTCACAAGACACCTCAACTTGTCCTTATCCTGAGCCAGATCAATACAGTCCATAAGACCCCATTCTTTCTAAGATCATATTATCCCCCTTGGTCTTCCTAGTGGTCTCTTTCCTTCTGGCTTCACCACCAATGTCTTATGCAGTCTTCTTCTCCCCCATATATGCTACATGCCTTGCTAATCTCATCATACTTGACTATCATTTTAATTATATTCAGCAAATAATACAAGTTCTGACACTTGTTGTTACACAATTTTCTTCAAACTCCTGTCACTTAATTTCTCTTGAGTCCAAATAGTCTCCTTAGCACTCTGTTCCCAAACATTCTAAGTCTGTGTTCCTCCCTTAATGTCAGAGATCGAAGTTCAAGCCCATATGGGACCACAGCTTTACCCAAATTTAAAATCCTCTTTAATTTTCTCCTGAATCAAATTTTGATTTGTTACTGTCCTTCCCTAATATCTGAACCAAGCCACATTTCAGAGCATGTTAGCTATCTGTTTGGTTTTGCCCTGCAGTCTGTTGATGAGATGGCAACATATACTAAGTTTTCTCTGCATTTACTTCTAGACCAACCTCCTTACTAGCATCAATTTTAAATTTTCTGTTTTCCTTCATAGTATCTATGTTATTACCCAGTTGATTCACATCATCAGCATAGACCAACAGCTGATATATCCCATTTAATTTCAGCCTGGTTTTCCTTGACCTTCACAATGGCATATTCTAAAGTACAGCTGAAAAGCAACGGCAATAAAGCATCTCGTCTTAGATCATTTTGGACAGGAAAATTTTCAGACAAATGTTTACCTATCTGGACTTAACCACATATTTCATTTAAACACATTTTAATCAGCCTAACCAGTTTCATGAATACCTCAAACTCTATGAGAATAATGTACAATACTTCCCTCCTAATTGGATAACAGGCTTTCTTGAAGTCTATGAATAGCTGGTGTACTGTCTCGTTGTACTCTAATTTTTCTCCAGTATCTGATGAATGCAAAAAACTTGATCAGTAATTGATCTGTTACATCAAAACCTATGCTGATGATCCCCAATAATTTCATCTGCATATGGATTTAACCTTCAGAGAAGGATACTGAATAAAATTTTGTATGAAGTTGATAACAGTGTTATTCCATGAACATTACTAGTCAGTTTTATCACCCTTCTTGTAAATTGGTACAATAATATACTCCTTTGGCTGACCAAGCAATTCTTCCTTATTCAAAACAGAAATAATGAGTTTATGGATCTCAGACCATAATGTTGCACCTCTTACTTGAATCAGTTCTCCCAGAATTTGATCGCTGCCTGGTGATTTATACTTTTTCAATGTTGCAATAGCAATTTCAGCCTCAAAAGGGTAAGAATCAGGTACCAACAACTCAGCTGATGTATTTCTATCTGCCTAACACCACTGACCCTATTATATTCAATAACTGAGAGTAGTTCTTCCATTTATTCATTGTGGGAATCTGCAAGCAGATCATCATTCTCATCCTTTACTAAGTTCCTTCTAAAGGCTGTGCCATAGCTCAAACGGTTAGTCGCTGGCTTCCCACCACGGTGCCTCAGGTTCGATCCCGGGTCTGGTCAAGTGGGATTTGTGGTGGACAAAGTGGCGCTGGGACAGGTTTTCTCCGAGTAATTCGGTTTCCCCTGCCAATCTTCATTCCACCAATTGCTCCAAAATCACCCTCACCTATCATCCGGGGCTGGTACAATAGGCCAGAAGTGGCCACAGTACAAGGGACTTAGTCCCACCCCACTAGCAATAAAAAAAGTTCTTTCTGCACATTCTTAAATTCATTTATTTTTCTATACAGGTCTCTGATGTTCTTGTTCTTAGTGTTTACCGCGAGCTCATTAATTTTGTTTCAGATATTTCATCCTTTTATTTCTGAAATGCCTGCTGGCTTCACATTTTGTACAGTTCAGATTATCCCCATTTATTTCACTTGGATCCTGTAACCACTGCAGCTTCGATCTAATAATTTTGAGCATCCTGCATCGAACCATGGCTTACACTTCTTCATTTCATAATAACCTAGACTCTCTCTGGCTTGAATTTTGATATTCTCTCAAACAGTTTCACAAGGTCTATTCATATGCACCTGACTGCATAAGTTTTCCATAGCTAAAGGACTACACTTCACATTATTTTGAACCTTATTATTTTCAGTATTCAGTACTACCACAGTACACACCTAGTTACATAAAAAAAAACAGCTGTTGACAGTCCAGAGCTGCTTTCTGATAGCAGTTCAATCAACTGTTTAACATATTTGTTTTGTTCGGAAGTGTTCCTAGCATTTATCTGTCACTTACATTTCTTACTGAAAGGAAATATACTGTGCCTGCAATTGCGACAAACCATATAATATTAATACAATGGAGTGTTTCTGTATAAAGCAGGCCAGATTTATTGGTCTATATTCATATCCTCCCCCTCGTTGGTGTCTCCACCTCATCGTGGTGAGGGGGTTTGAGTATGCCAAGGACCCTGAGAGCTATACCAGTGGTAGCGTAGCTACTGGCAGGGCCTCCTTGCTGGACAGGTCAAAGGGTAGGCATCAGATGAAGAGAAACGCCAAAAACCAAAAACTGATGCCGAAAGCAGAGTCATCAGCAGCAACTTGAAGCACAGAGCAAATGATGCTCGAGATGGTTCAAGTTCGTATAACAACAGGCATGACCAGAGTGGTTTGAATGGCTGTTGTACTGCGATATGGAAAGCAAATGGAAAAACTACCACATTATCACTTTTCCTGGATAGTCTCTTCCTAAAAACAGAGATACCATGTATGCGAGATGTTTCCTCTGGAGACAAAACAATCTGGAGGTAAACTACTCCCCCAATCGGATCTCCGGGGGGAGTGTTTCTAGAGGAAATGTCATGCAGGCGTTACAACAAGAAAAAGTGCGAAGATCAGAAGGAACATCATGGCTAAAAGATTGGAACATGGAATGTAAGTACCTTGAATCAAGCAGGCAAATTGGAGAATTTGAAAACAGAAATGCAGAAGAATGAGGTGTCTGTTTTAGGTGTCAGCGAAGTGCGGTGGAAAAGACAAGGTGAAATAAGAAGTGGTGATTATACAGTGTATTATTCTGGAGGTGAACGGGCTGAAAGAGGTGTGGCAATAGTGGTGCATAAAAGTGTAGTGAGGAGTGTTGTTAAGAAGATTGTTTGTAATGACAGAATTATTGCTCTGCAGTTAAAGGCGGAACCAGTAGATATACTGATTATGCAAGTGTACATGCCAACATCAGAGTATGAAGATGATGAAGTGGAAAAAGTGTATGACACAATTGAAGAAATTCTTCAGGAAGATGGAAGAGGTGACACAAACAGCATCATATTAGGAGACTGGAATAGCATTGTTGGAGATGAATCATATCAGAATATTGTTGGATCACATGGACTAGGAAGATTGAATCACAGGGGTTAAATGCTTACTGACTTTTGTGAAAGAAATGGACTGATTGTTACCAACACTTGGTTCAAGAAGCCAAAGAGAAGACTTTACACATGGAAGGCACCTGGGGATAGGAGGCGGCATCAGCTGGACTATAACCTTGTGAAACATCGATTCAGAAACAGTGTGAAGGATGTGAAGACGCTGCCTGGGGCAGATACTGACTCCGACCACAACTTACTGGTTGCCAAGTTTCAAACCAGGTTGAAGAAAATTATAAGATTCCAAAAGTGCAGACCTAGATGGGATTTGGAGAAGTTATATGCTCAAAGACAAAGTGTGCAGGAGACCCTAGAAGAGAAACTCAGTGCAATTGAAAGTGAAAGTGGAAATGCTGAAGTGCAGTGGAACAATATAAAAGAATGCATGTTAGATACTATTAGCAAATTGGTTGGTAAAGTTGAGAAGATAGCAAGAAAACCATGGGTTACACAGGAGATGATGAGTAAAATGGAGGGGCGAAGGAAATGGAAAAATGTAAACAACAAAGAAGGCAGGAGGAAATACAGGAGACTGAGGAATGAATTGAAAGGAGCCATGGAGAGGGCCAAAAAGGAATATCTTGAGAAGATATGTAATGAGATTATAGAATTTCAAAGAACAGGACGTTATGATTTGATGCACATGAAGACAAAAGAACTAGGATGGAAAGAGAATCATGGGATTCAAAATATTGGCATCGAAGACTCCCAGGGGAATAGAATAGTAGATCAGAGGAAAGCGCTGAAAATTTGGGAAAATTATATTACAGAACTATATGATCGACCTCATCGGCCAGAAACCTTAGAAGTTGAACCGGAAGAAGGAGTAGATACAGATGAGAAAGACCATATATTTTAAAAAGTGAGGTGGAAAAAGCTATCAAGGAAATGAGGAAGGGAAAGGCTACAGGAGATGATGATGTACCAGGAGATGTGCTTAAGTTGCTGGGAGAAGGTGGTTTGAAAACACTGACAAAACTAATAAACACCATATATGAAACTGGGGAGTGGCGCAAGGACTTTACAGATGTGACAATGATTGCCTTAAAGAAAAAGACAAAAGCTACAAAATGCAGCGACCATAGCACAGTAAGCCTTATGGCACATACAGCAAAGATAATAGCAAAGATACTTAAAAGAAGAATTGAAAGGAAAATAGAGGATATACTTGGAGAGGATCAGTTTGGATTTAGAAGAGGAAAAGGAACCAGGGATGCAATTAGGATGATGAAAATTATAGCAGAACGAACTTTGGAGATAGATGAAGAACTGTGTGCTTGCTTTATAGATTGGCAGAAGGCACTTGACAATGTAAATTGGACCGAATTAATGTAGATCCTAAAGGAAACAGGTATCGATTAGTGTGAAAGAAGATTGATTAGTAAATTGTACAGGGATCAGAAAGTTAGAGTGCGCCTGGAGAGAGGCGAGACAAGAAGTGCGAAGATTGGAAGAGGAGTTCGACAAGGATGCTATTTATCACCAATTTTGTTCAACTTGTATGGCGAATGCCTTACCAAGGAAGCTCTGAATGGGCTTGGAGACTTCAAATTAGGAGGACAAATTATTCAAACTGTGAAATATGCAGATGACCTTGTGTTAATGGCTAAGGAAGAAACTGTGCTACAGGGTATGATTGATAGACTATTCAAAATTGGAAGGTGCTATGATAGAGGGGCGGATAGAAGTGACGTGAAGACGTAAGAAGATGCTGGATGACCTTGGGAACAGAAGAGGATATTCTCATTTGAAGGAGGAAGCTCTAGATCGCATTAAGTGGAGAAACTGTTTTGGAAGAGACTGTGGACCTGTCGTCTTGACAGATTACTGATGAATGAATGAATTCATATCCTAACAGTCAATTAAGGATAAGTTTGTATTAAGCTATTATCAACACTAACAAGATATATACATCATATTAATTGTTCTGAATTCCATTATTTTTATAGTTCTGGTAATTATCAATATTGAGGAGGTATACACTTTATGTTAATTGTTCCGAATATCAATATTCTCATAGTTCTGGTACGCACCAAGAACTTACAGAAGATCTTTATATTTCACTATGATGATTCATTTACTTGCTTTTGGCTTTCACTGTGGTTACTTATTGATGTCAATTTTGTTCTTGGGCTGTTACATCATGTGGCTGTGGGCAGTGTTGTTTAGGTTTCAGAGGTACATGCTGCCACCATCTTAGCTCTGCTTGCCACTTTCATCATGCTGCTTTTGTTGTTTGGTTCACTCCTTCACCTGAAGATGGAAGCAACATGTTCCTCCAAAACACTGGTTGACTTTGAACAGGTTACACAGCATTATAGCCCAGGTGACAGAACTCTTACTTAAATGGGCATAATTTAAGACTAAAATTATTGACCTTGGATCACTGAAATTGATCATCAAATGTAGGAAAGCATTAAACTAAGTGGGGGGGGGGGGGTCCCACTGCCAGTGATTTTTTTTAACTTATGATATTTCAGAATCTCTTGAGGAAACAGATTTAGATATCACTTTTAATGGCAGTGACATTGAATATATAATTATTCCTCACACAGTGAAGGTGAAACAGTTCCTGAAAACAGATCAGCAATGGGGAATCTCCACAGTAACTGATGCAGCAGTGAAGAGAGGAATATATCTCATATTTTTCAAGAATCAATCAGCAAACATTATTTTAGAAACATACAATGAATGATACTGTCATGTTTCTCTCACACTGGAAGTATACATATTCACCATATTCACCCACCAATATATATAGTTCATAAGTTTCATGAACATCAGTTAAATTAACTGATACAAAAGTTATCAGTGAAAGATGCAAAGCATTAAGATACAATATGAAACTGGAAAACAGCTCAAACTGTGAATATGTACTGAAGACTTTAATTTCATTTCCTACTTTACATACTCTAAAGAGGCACTAGTGGCATATACTCTCATTGAAATTGTAGATCTGACATTCTTGCCAATATCAACAATATCTTATCAAGTTTCACATTACCATGTACATTATTACTGAGAAATTTTATATACATTTANACTCAGCTAAATGATAACAGTTTTAAGAAAACAGTATTAAATGTACAAATATATTGTGTTTTTGGACTTTATCCATCGTCCTGGTTTTTAAGATAACTAATAAAAACACGACGTTTCAGAAACTGGATCTGTTTCCGTCCTCAGGTGAAGGAACACACCTATTCTGTTGGGTCCGTTAGAAAGAGCTAGCCTCAATCACTGGTCCGAAACGTCGTGTTTTTATTAGTTATCTTAAAAACCAGGACGATGGATAAAGTCCAAAAACACAATATATTTGTACATTTAATACTGTTTTCTTAAAACTGTTATCATTTAGCTGAGTCATTTTTAGCTCTAGCAGTCTCCACCAATGACAGAAGTTCTTCTAACTTATCCACATTTGTTCTTGCTATGCCAACAGTGTCAACCTGGAGAAGAAAACATATTAACATTTAAACAGACATGGACTTTGGATTCTGAGCTCTTTATGCTATGATTATCAAAATAACCACACGCACTTACATTCTAAAATTTCCGTATTATGACCTGGCTGCATGTCATATATGATACATTAAATATTATATTTAAGCATCCTCTTACACTCTACACAATGTAAGACACAAAACTCTGTCCTAAGTGCAACAATTTATTATAGTTCTTTTGTCGTCTTTTCTTCTACACTACATGTTTCAGCCGTAAATGGCCATCATCAGGTGTATACTCTCACGTAGCTGTTACACTGCACGTAGCTTAAAATTTAAAAACACAAGCTTTCTTAATTGTTCATTTCTCTGTTGTTAATAGGTCCCAATATATCAGAATCCCCTTGCTGATATTTGTCAGATATGTATAAAATCTCTGTTAATTTACATATGTCAATTTGATTTTTTAATTTTGGTATTTTTAAAATCTTCAATTCAAATTTAAACATTTTTTTCAATTTTAAAAGATGTAGCTGCTGCAGCACTGTAGAACTAGAACAGGTATTCCTGTGAATTTTAAATTTTAAAATTTAAAAAAATGAAATTTTAAAAATACCAAAATTAAAAAATCAAATGGGTAGCAAGGGCTCTTTCCCCTGAGGTAAAGTGGCCGGGGTGTGAAGCTGACCACCCAGCTCCAACTAGTGCCAAGGTAAAGAAAACATCGGTCTATACATCCACTCCCCCATACATCTTCATGGCGTAATGCTTAAACAGTTAAGCAGGGGGACAACTTTAGCTTTTACCATAAATAAAGGTAAAAAAGGTAAAGCTATCCCTGTAACAGGCTGTGGAGGCCCATAGGGTTGCGAGACATTGATGCTATCAGATTTTCTAGACAATCGGCTCATAGACAGTGGTGAGGTTGTCAGCCTTACACGTCGGCTGCCCTTTAACCTCAGGAAGATTCCTAGTACTCATTTCTGTTAAAGGCTAAGTCAACCCCTGGGCAAGAGTGTAAGTGGAAGGATAGGTCAACTGAAAAATCCAGTCGCCTCATCAGGGATCAAACCTGCAACCTTCTGGCCTGTAGCATAGTGTGTCAACCAACTACTCTACTACATGACCCCAATTTTATATATAAGAAATTTATATTTGGAAGTACAAAAGTTGAGCTAGTCAACAACCCAATGATAGAAGAATAAACTAACAAAGTGCAACCAAGTTTCATAATTATGATGAAACATTTTAACTGACATTGTACTTAGTATTTACTATCATTTTAATGTGTATTTTTTAAACTATTTTATATACCTCCATAACTGAAACACACTTGCTGCTAATGTGAAAATCTGGTTAACACCAACACTGGACTCACTTTGATGAGAAGCATATTCGTCCCTACATCAATCCGATTCCATGAGAATCAGATGGCTTTATGGCACATAAAAGTGCTGAGACAAAAATAAATTATACAATGTTTAGCTCAAAATATTGTGGTATGCTCATTACAGGACCAAGATTCATCATAAAATATATTTTGGTGACAGGATTTTTGTATGACAGTGAACAAGTGCTGCACAACAGCTTCCTAACACATATGACAGAAAGTATTCACTGGATTAAGGGACCAATACTCTCATACCCATTCATAAATCAGAAATGCAGACTGACTCCTAGTATATTTTGAAATGCAACAAATACAACATTTAACATTAAAGGCGAGAAAGTTGTAGAAATCAAAACCAGTCACAATGGAAATAATTCTGTACTGCCATGCTATGGTACTATCCATGCACTCTGTGATAGCATAAAGTTACTGTCAATATGTGGTGCTGAAAAAAAACTGCTTTTATTATCAAGGCACTATAATCCAGACAGACACTGATGGAAGGCTGCATGAGGTACCTGGAGTTTGTGGGAAATATCTAAATCTTTGTGACTAGGGTATATTAATACAAAAAAACAGGATGATGAATAATGTCCAAAAAGTCAATAATTGTAGAAATATGCAATATGCTGGCTACTGACAGTTTCTTGGCCATAATGGCCAAATTTAAAAATGGATTAAAAGTAGGAAAACTGACCACAGTTCAATTTCTTGCCATCAGCAGATGTATGCATCAACAGTCTGAAATTAAAAGTGTGCGTGTGTGTGAATTCCATGTGCCTGGGACCAGGAACCAGAAGAGTTCATTCTTAAACATTTTATGCACTGTGAAATTTTCAACAACTTGGACAACCTGTTTGGGATATTGATGCTGACAATGATAAAATCAGTTCAAGTGGCAGCATTAGCAATAATAAAGCATAAAATGTAGGTATGGTATCTTTTTTTTCATGTTTCTGCCTTATCAGTCATGGCATACACTTAGCAGTCAATTTCTGGAGTGCGACAGAATGAGAGCAATGTTGCCAGACTATCAGTATTTAAGCACCAATAACTTACTATCACCAGTAATGAACTGACATTACTTCTGTTTCTTAATAGTTATTTGTAGTATTTACTGAACACATTTTTGGGGGAGGAAACTGCTCAAATGTCTCAGACACAACTGAAGAACAGCGTGTCTAAATGCATTACTTCATTGCCATTGTAAACAATAGTACTCCTGAAATGATTCACTTAAATCAATTCCACTTTTTGGTCAAACATGAGTGCCAAAAATGGGGTATGAATTTGATAACTGTATTATTTACCATTATTCACTCGAATGAAAACTCTCACCCCTGCTGCAACCTCTCACATACCTTTGCCTGAACAAAAACAATAAGCTGTGGAATCCCACTGGATATTAATAACTGACAAGTTCCAAAGCATAAGAAATCTGTGACCACTGAAATTATTAATCAAATTCTAGTTCTACGTGAAGGACACCTAACTACGTCAGTCACACCAATTCTCAAAGACTCATAAGAGCGCAACATTTTTTGTAAAAGCCTGTGGACATAATTTTTTGCTTTGTAAGTAAATCCAGTCACACACCCACCCCTTCACAATAGCTGCATACATCCAGAAGAAGCTGCTGCCTAATCTTGTCATCATCTCCCAGCCCTCTTGCTTCACTACTCGAAGTTGCAGCAGAACGGTCTCGGATTTTTTTCAAACGACGTAAACTTTCTTCCGTCTTCTGGACTGATGTGAGAACATCATCCACACAACTAAAGAATCTGGGGAAAGTTAGAAAAGAAACTTCAACAACAAAATATATTATTTAACCTCTAACATAAAGAACACTACAGTAAATAAATCAATAAATAAACTAACCGCCAACCTTACATGTTACCTTCCTTCTATATTTCTGTACAGAGCATTTATGGAAAGATGTTTCATTTGTCATTGTATTCATTCATAAAAATACATGGCAACCATAATTTTATTTGATATTCCTAGAGACAGCAGTAAAAGTCAAGTGACAAAAAATTTCAATATGTGCACCACAGGTACCTAAAATCACCTGTAACTGTTTGCGTCAAACTTTCTCTAATCTAATCTCTAAACTAATCAGTGGATGTTCACTGATGCTGTTCACAACATGAACATACATAAACAAATATAAAAGTCAACTCTCTTGTTTTCATCACCCTTTCCAAGGGACTGCTACATTGTAATTCTGAATGAAAACATCTCATCTTTTCAAACAATCCTGTATACTGATGATTCTCGTATGTTGTTGAAAAATATGTTGCAGATCTTCTGAGATGGTCAAAATCTGTTAACCACAAGTAGTATTTCCTGGTGCTCTGTCTTCACTTTATCAACAATACTCTTCTTGCTAAGATGTGAGCTTCTCACAGCAACAGTTAAGAAGAGTTCTGTCTTCTGCGATATAACACAATGGAATTTGGTAAAATCTAATTGTCATTTCAGCGGAACACATCAGATGACTTTAATGGAATACACAGTGTTATATCTCAAAAGACAGAACTCTTTTAATACTTTTCTTACTTTAGACAAAATCCCCAGTAATTTCAAAACTGTTAACTAATCTTGGAGCCCTCCAGCACTCAAAGCCTTAATCAAAATTCACACTGAAAATTATTAACACTAGAAATCAGGTAAAATCTCAAAATGAAACTCACTGTTGGGTTATTGCTGCAAATGTGAGTGTCAACCATTGTTCCAGCAGCTCTTTGTTCACCACTGATCGCTGAGCACTATAGAATGCCAGTGGTAGAGCCAAAACTTGTGTAACATATGAACATGGTTTTGTTGGCATCTCTCTGTTGGTACGTCTGAATAATCTAGGAATGTCACTCACTTGTCGCAAGTGTGGTAAGCTCTGACTGCTTATTTCACCAAGAATGAATTGTGTTATCAGAGGCAATCTAGTCAGCAACTGTTCTTCTGACTCCTTAAGACAACCTATTTGGACAATTCTGTGCTATATAAATACTGTTATGTAACATAAAGAAATTTAAAATAACATACACTCGTGGCATATCAGGAAACAGCACAGAATTAATGAACTTCCAAATTTAACATTCAGTTACAAATTAAATGGATAAAATATGTACAGCCTTTCGGTCTGTTTTAATATTATTATGATAAAAATATTTTCTGAATAAAATTTAAAAGGTTAAAAGCCTCTGTCATTGAACAAACACAAGAAATCTAACAAGTTCAAGTATATTAAATTATATACTGTTACTGAAGAAAATTAGTCAGCTGTACACAGTACACTATCTGTTCAATTTCACAATCTGGACTTCATAGCAACATTTCATCTCTATAAATACAGTCAACTTTCGATTACCCGGGATAATGGTGGGGATGGAAATCACGATTAATCAAAAACCCGGTTAAGACAAATTTTATTAAAAGTAGTACTGTAATACTGTACCTTCATAATACTATAGGCCTACCTGTATTTAAATTTATTCAACCTCATTTTTATGTCATCTCATGGCCTATTTAATACTTTTTTTTCACAGCACTAAAGTATGAATTAGTTACTTCAATCACAGTCTTCAACAACATCCAACACTTTTTACGAATATTCACACTTAACACTTAAAAAAATTTAATATTGTCGTTTACTTTTTCGTGGCATTTTCCTTTTTCTGTTGAATACTTAACACAACACGCTTCCTTTTACACCCTGACATTTTGCTAACGCACTTGGAGATCGATACAAAGAGACCAACTGGGGTGGTGTATCTGTCCCTGAAACTTTCCACAAATCCTTGCATTCTTTCACCCCTACCTTAGAACATTGTGTTAGCATAACGGGACCAAACAATGCAGAGCTCGGTTCACACTAGTGCGAAAATAGTGTTACAACTCACCACGTGAAACAAAAGTGAATGAATATTAAACAACATATAAGCCTCAAAAAAGCCTCAGTAGCCCCGGTTAAGCCGCAAACCGGTTAATCTGCCCCCGGATAATCGAGAGTTGACTGTATCTTCTTTTTTTACTTTTAAAACTTAGTACGTATCTAAAATAACATATATTTCACAGAACAATTCTGTCCAAAACACACAGCAGTGAAAGGTTAAAATGAAATGAATCACCAAATGTAACTCACTCTTGAGTAACTGCTGTCCTTGCTGAGACAGGTTCTGAAGTTTCATTGTGACACTGTTTAGTAAGCCAGGCAATCTTGCAACAAGTTTCTCCACATCAGTATACAAGTGCACAAGGAACTGCAATCTTGCTAAACGAGACGTATCATTACGAACTGCATTAGGAACTGAACTCTCAGAAGGCCACTTTTGCTCCAGAGCTTCACCTACCCAGGTATAGTACCTAGCTAAAATCTGGAGATTCAACTTCCAAAACCTAGAACACATTAATATAACCACATTATTCTTCTCAAATTCAATATGAGCACTTTTTTATTCTAAAAACATTTGCTGGCACTCTCATGCTCACTGCTATTATTCACTCATAACTCAGGAATTCTGCTCTGAACTGGTTCTGTCACTCGTAACTGCTGAGAACAAATTCTGCCTTGAACTCTGGCCCCCTAGTTCCAATTCGCTCCGTTTGCGTGCTTCCTCCACACTATTTCTGCTTCTACAATGAACTCAGAACTCTGCCACTCACTTATATAGCCGAGGGACCGACACTGACCAACAGTAAACACATGTCACATGACCCCCTACTCACTGTTGATGTGTGATGTCACCAATCCTATGCCAACTGCAGGACACACGAAAACACAGCTTGCTCTACTGTTGTGGGCGCGTATTGTGTTTGCAGAGCTGGTGCCTGGCAACGCGTTGATCAAATACATCACAATATATAACAGACTTACATAACACACTAGACAGACTACTGCTGGCAGAACCAGCACTACCCATAACCAGCACGTGTACTCACAGTCTCATCCAGCACCATTACAATTTTATTGTATACAGAGGCAAGAACAGTCAAAGCCCTTTCATTCAAAATGACTAAACATGAAGAGAGAAATCCACAAATACCGGTGTGTGAGCTGGTAGAGAAATACTCCACTGGCCCAACAGCGCATAAGGCAATCCCAAGTAGTAGCAGTTGTTTGTAACTGAAAGTCTGTTAGCACTGGTGGAACTCCAGCACTGCTTTCACTCATCACAGTCTCCAGTACACCAGCAATCTCCTGAAATCTGTAACACAGCACATTATCATCTTTGGGTTATATGATTCCCCTCTTCTCTAGGTTCCAGTTACTCCCTGTGAAGTGGCAATAGAGATGATGGGCAGCAGATGGGACCTACAGCTTAATCCATTAAAGACTAGTGTGACTACATAAGTGTGAGAAATTTTGCATTGTAATTGTTACACATACAAGTGTGTTTCCCTAACCAGCACAGGCAATTTCAGTTCCAACTACACTCAACTCTCGATTACCCGGGATAATGGTGGGGATGGAAATCACGATTAATCGAAAACCCAGTTAAGACAAATTTTATTAAAAGTAGTGTTGTAATACTGTACCTTCATAATACTATAGGCCTACCTGTATTTAAATGTATTCAACCTCATTTTTATGTCATCTCATGGCCTATTTAATACTTTTTTTTACATTACACTGAAGTATGAATTAGTTATATCAATCACAGTGTTCAACAACATCCAACACTTAACACTTAACAAATTTAATATTGTCGTTTGCTTTTTCGCGGCATTTTCCTCTTTACGGATATCTGTACAAAGCCTATGTAATATTAGCTTGTCACTTAATAAGCTGTTCTCTTCACTCTCAAGATGTCTAGTAAGGATTTCAAATAATTAAGAGCAGCACTGTCCACTTCTTCCTCATTCTCACTTTTGTTTTTCAAATCTCGAACAGTTTGTTCTCCAATAGTGTATTGCATTGCTAATTGTTTAACTATACCTATTTGAATACTTAACACAACACGCTTCCTTTTACACCCTGACATTTTGCTAATGCACTTGAAGATCGATACAAAGATACTAACTGGGTCGATGTATCTGTCCTTGAAATTTTCCACAAATCCTTGCATTTTTTCACCCCTACCCTAGAACATTGTGTTAGCATAACCGGACCAAAGAATGCAGAGCTCAGTTCACACTAGTGCGAAAATAGTGCTACAACTCACCATGTGAATCAAAAGTGAATGAATATTAAACAATATATAAGACTCAAAAAAGCCTTAGTAGCCCCGGTTAAGCCACAAACCAGTTAATCCGCCCCCGGATAATCGAGAGTTGACTGTAGCTCTAATTTCCAGAACTGGTTTCAATTACAACAGGCACAATCATCACTTGCTGAAAGTGTTGCATGCACAAAAGTAATGATTTTATGCATTCTGTTTCAAACCTCTGTGAGATTATACTCACTTCATTAACAAGCCCAGCTGATACAGCACATAATTTTAAAAAGAAAATGACTGACTGCACACCATATTTTTTGCTACAGCCATTCATAGGGATGTCCACAAATCAAAAGGCATTAGAAGTTTTCAGTTCCTTACCTAACACGACACTAACTTTAAATATATATGATTAACAGGAATATTGCTAATAAAAATAGCAAATAAATGAACAGATAAATAAATAAAAAGGAAATACAACTATGGCACGACCAAAAAAGAGATATGTCGAAAAGAAATGCTGACACTGTGTTACATTTACAGATGAAATAGACAAGAATAAAAACATTTCAATATATTTCAGATCACTGACAACTAGAGCATGGGAACAGTGGAGATTAAGTTTGTATTTACTCTCTAGAGTCATAGTATGTTGCATTTGAGTATTCTAGACATGAAATGTACAAACATTTAACACTTTTTAAAATTAGTGATGTATTAGATAATGAAATGAAAATCTTTTAATACCATTTCAATTTAGTGGACACTTTGAATGCTGAATAACCAAAACATGTAAGATGGAATCAATCATTTACTGATTAAATGTGAATGGTTTCATATTCAAATGAAGTGTAAAATTGATGGTAGTTACAATATGAAAGACACAACAGCAGCAATGACATCTGTAACATTTTATGAGCTTGCACTGGATGTTCTAAAACAGAACTGTAATTTTAAGGGAAAATTTATACTGTTTACAATTATAGCCTGAAGGACAATTTCTTTTAGTAAGAACTCAACAAAAGTGGTAATCCTCTTAATGATAACAGTGCTGGAAACACTATAAAAGTTATTATTATTTACCTGATCTGGAAATAAACAGGAAGATTCCAGTGTTGAAGAAAGGCCACATACTGGGGATGAGCATGTAGCCTCTTTACTCCAGTCTGAGTACCACAGCACCTCTCCAACTTTTCTAAAAACTCTTGGGTTTCACAGTACCTCTACAAACAAATATAATTTATTAAGTACACTTTGTCAAATCAGTAATCACAGACGTGAACACAGAGTAACTTCAAATGTAGAAAATTAAAAAATCCATAATGGTAAAACACATCTAGTATGGGTAACAGGGAATTACCATAGTTAGGTCAGTTTTAGGTTTACTCTGTGTTGATTTAACTTGCTGATTTGCCTTCTTTGTCTCTGCTTGCCTTGCCAATGATGAAGAAATTCCATTTCAGAAGTACAGGCACTTATTAGGCAGACTTGCATGAAGGAAAAGCTGCAACGAGTCCCACTGGTCTCAATCTTGAGCCCTTTGGCATGAAAGTCTAGCACTTAACGCCCAAGCCTACCAGTTCCCCTGTTATGAATTGTCTACTGTGTTAAACAGTCATAAATAATCCATATAACTGAGTAAACTTTAAACCAATCAATCACACGAAAGTACATGAATAATGTAAACACCAACTGACTCTTCTAACACTTAGTTATTTAAACACAATCTTACTCATTCCCTTGGTGTAAAGTATTCAACTTTACAGCTCAGTTGTGCCTGTGCCTCAAGATTCTTACAACATTACACTTAGGTAGTAACTTTAACTTTACTTAACTAAATGGTGCTTAAAATTAGTCAATAAAAATATGCTACACTGAAGTGATATTGCATACAATCACAGAGTCACAGTAGTCCAGTTTTTTGTGTTATTTATTAGGTTTTTGTGAAATCAATTGAAAACTTTTATGGAATATTTATTAGGCACCTTTTATAAAGTTTTTCAACAATATTCGCCATCTTTTTTGAAGTGGCAGAAAGCATTAACATTTGGGGGAAAGGAAGGATTCTCTTGCAGGTTCACAAATCCAACTGCCAGGATGCAAGTGGTCTGCATACCATGAACTGCACCACCCTTCCCTACATTATCAAACCGTATCACTGAATGATTAAAGTCCTACTCCAAATTCTGAGAAGAAATGAGTACTCTCACACAATTACAAATACCTGATAGAACATTTCTGGATTCCCTGGGGCATATATTAAAGGCAAATGTAATTCCAGTCGTTGTTCAACTTCAGGCCAGAAGCTATTCACAAGGAAGTCAAATCCTTTTACAATTGGCATTCTGAAAAGAATTAGTACAAGATAGTCAGCCACAAAAATTACTTAAGTATCTCCGTGACATTTAAACACTGATTTCAATAAAATAAACTCTTATCCTAAACACTGGATTGAGAACCAAAAGGCACCTAATGTGTATGTGATATCAAACATAATTTTAAAATTTAAATTATCTCACCGTACTCCTCTTGCAGTAAGCTTCAACAGTGGCTCCATGTCTGTGTCAACAAAAGATAAGATTCTGGAGTAGACACCCTGAAGACCTCTAGGATCAGACTGCAGAGAATTTTCACTGACAACATCATGCAACGCAGGTGATACAACCTCTCTTCTGTATAAAGACTCTACATCTGCTATTTTGTCTAGTGTGATGTAGATCCTCAAACAACGAGCCATCCCTTCACTGTCCCTCTCATGTAAACTTTTAAGGAACATTCCATCAAGGCTTGATGTAAGAAGGTCACAGATCTTCTTGGCTTGCTATACACAAAACACAGTGTTATACTAAGCAAGCCTGGTCACATGAATGTAATTTGGATAATAATGTCATATTATCATGGACCCCCCCCCTTTTTTTTTGTTGAGGTTTTCTGGCTGCAGATATTTCAGTGTAATTCTAAACTCACGTAATAAGTCATGTTGTTAACATGTTCATCAACACAACTGAATATTAGAAACAAATTAAATGTGCACTAATATCATGTAAAAATGATTAACTTTCAGAGTGTCTAATGATCAGTAATTAATGACTAATATACATTCTTCCCAGTATAAATAATTCTACTGCACACACAAACAATATGAAATGAAATGACAATTTCTTATTAATATAAGTGACACAAAGCTACTCATACCACTGACTTCATTCAATCTCCTGATGTTACATGGAAAAGTTCTACTGCACGACATAAAACAACTTAATAAAGTAATGAATATATCAAGCAGTTACTATAGGATTCTGACGATGGTGTATAACACGCAGAGATATTGGGTTTTTGGACTTTATCCATCGTCCTGGTTTTTAAGATAACTAAGAAAAACACAACGTTTCGGAAACTGGATCTGTTTCCGTCCTCAGGTGAGGGAAGACACCTATTCTGTTGGGTCCCTTGATTGAAGCTAGCTCTTTCTAAGGGACCAAATAGAATAAGTGTTTTCCCTCACCTGAGGATGGAAACAGATCCAGTTTCCAAAACGTCGTGTTCTTCTTAGTTATCTTAAAAACCAGGATGATGGTTAAAGTCCGAAAACCCAATATCTCTGAATGAATATATCATTCAAACTATTTTCAACGAGTTAGAGTCCTCCTGATATGTTATCTACTTGTAACTTCATTCTTACTTTTCAGATAATATATGATGATGCAGATGGGTGAAAATTACATTTCATACTTGACTTTTAAAACTGATCTCAAAGTTAACGTTATGTTGTAACATGACTGTGAACATGTGATACTTTGCGCCTAAGGGAAACTTAACCTTTACAGGCCTTGTATCATATTATAATGGCAGAGCACATGCACACTGCAGCTGGTCAAGCACTTCACTTTTTCAGCACCAATACTGTTATACCCAAGCTAAAACACAGATTCCTGTCCTGTAGAAGCAAGGGATTTATAAACCTCCTATTCCTGGACGATAAACTGTTACCAACCTAATTTAAATATGGTCCCAGACCTCACAGTACTATGGGGTTTAATCCCCATTCCTGGGTAATACAGGTTAAAATACTGATTTGTGTAAATGTCCAGTACTGATTTACTAAAGGGACTGGACATATAACTCACTTTTGATTACAATACTAGATGCATTTCTTGGTGCTGTAGTTTGTACTAAAAGGCATTTCTTTATAACAGGTGATTTTCATTACCTCCTTGTGACTTTCTGTTAAATCATTTTCACATTTTGAGATGCAAAATTGTAACTGGTTAAATTCAGAAGCTGCTCGTTCCACAAGACCTGGATCTAGAGGTGGCCTCTCTTTCTTTCTTTCCAGTTCTTCATCTCTGCTATTCTCATCCAAGTGCAGAAGTACACTCCACTTGCTCAAAGAGCTCTGTACACGAGCTAAGCTCTGGAGACTTCTTTTCCTTGCACGGATTTTCTGACGCTGATCAAGACGAAATGACAGATCCTCCATTGCTTCATCTAAGTTCAGTTTCACTTGCTAGGAGGAAAGCAGAAATAATGTTTTTCTTACTACTGGAAGTCAGACTTCCACATTCAACAACCATTAATAAAAATACTTCTTTCATATTAATGATGCATATACTCTATACATTAACTTCTGAGGCACTGCTGTGACTGTTCCTACTTATTTTTATTAGTATTCAAATTACAATTAGTCTTTATTACCATTAATCACTTCATGAATTAAAATTAGAACAAACTACCTTAATTAGCATGCCAGTCCTTAGCCAGACGCATTCTACTTTATACCTGGTACTGCTACTTAATCCACTGAAGCAAAACATACTTTTTGTCATTCAGAGATGAATATGTATATAGGTTTTGAGAGTAAAGGTAAAAGATATCTCTGTAACAGGCTGTGGAGATTTTGAGGCTCCCACATTTTCTAGGCAATTGGCTCATAAAAGGTGGTGAGGTTGTCAGCCTTATGCGTCGGCCACCCTATACCCCTAGGAATATTCCTGGTACTCATTTCTGTTAGAGGCTGTTGAATCAGCTTATGTAGTAAAAATGTATATGGGGCTTCCATGAAAGTTGACTGTCCAGTTGTAGGCCTAAAAAATTTATAACTTTTGTTAGACAAATTTTCACCAGAGATTATCCATAATGAAGAATGTGAAGAATTTGCAGGGGTAAATTTTACTCTTTGGCTTTTCAATATTTAATACCAGCAAACTGACCTGGAACCACTTGATGGTGTTATATAGATCATTAAGGCCCATTTCACACCAAGCCAGTCCCGTCACGTCCAGTCCAGTCACGTCTAGATCAGTCAAGTCAAACCAGTCAAAAGCTTTCACACTGAATAAGTCAAATCATCGACAGTCTTTTGGGAAGTATCTTTGAAGATGGATGTCATATTAAGTGCAATAATAATTCGAAGGTTGAGAAGACGAAGACTTCAGCGACGTAGATTTTGGGTACATCCTATAAATATGAAACGACCTATGCTAGGATCATTCAGTCATCTATTTCCGGACTTATTAAATGACGAAAAGAAATTCTACAATTACTTCAGAATGAGCCCTAATAACTTTTTCACATTGCACAGTATGATTGTTGATGAAGTGAGCAAGCAAAGAACAAATTACAGGGAAGCCATTTCTTCAGAACAGAGGCTGGCAATATTTTTAAGGTAAGAGAACAGATAAGAATGAAAAACAGAAATTTTATCATTTTAAATTTATCTGTTTATTTATCTGATTTTTTACATCTAAAAAGTAACATCATTTATAGGAGGATTATGGTCCTGGGTGAATGTTGGAGTCGGAGTAGGGGCAGATGGATAAGAATTTGTACCAGGGGAATATGGATTGGTCTCTATCTCTATGTCTCTATGTTTTGCCTCTTGTGGATCATAAATTTCACGCCGATCGCGCACCAACAAAATAAGATGTTCTACATCCATGATTAATACTCAAAGTCGTTCGACATTCACGGTATCAGCACGACAGATGACGGGCCAAGACTGAAGAATAATTCAACCTCCTGAGTCACGGACTTGACGCTGTATGACTGGACGGGACTGAGCTGGACGGGACTGGTTCGGTGTGAAAGCGCATGATCAGTCCCGATAACAAATGCATTTGTTTGACCGTGTGTTGAATCCGAGAGCGTCAGACTCGACTGGACTGGACGTGACGGGACTGGCTTGGTGTGAAATGGGCCTAAGGATTCTATTGAGTTTGTCACAGCTATTATTGGAAATTAAGATACTTGTGTAACAGCACATATTATCACATTAGAGATTCCAAATAGACCCATTAATATAGATGTTACACAGGGATGGCCCCAATATCAATCCCTGAGGTACACCAGATTTAACAGTTTTTGAAGATGAAGAATAATTACATGTACCTGAACACAATCTTTGTTTCCTACTGCACAAGTATGGCTTAAACCACTATAACAGTAAGCCTCTGACACCGCAAAATTGCAATTTATTTAGCAATAATTCGTGATTTACACAATCAAACACTTTAGTCATGTCACAAATACCTCCAGTTGTCATTCCAAGCATTTAAAATAATTTCAGCAAGTTTATGTGTAGCATTAAGTGCAGATGATCCTTTTCTAAAACCATGTTATTCTGTAAGAAATATATTGTGAATTTGAAAATACTGATTAAGCCTACAATAAATCAGTAGTTCAAAAATCTCTGGAAACCTGGTAATCAAGGAAATGGGTCTATATTTAGTTAATTCAAACTTTCTTCCTTTTTTAAATAACATACTATGAACTGAATAGTATTTAAAACGATCCAGAAATTTATGTACTCTTAAGGATTTATTAAAAACATATATGCTAAACGTTTTCCAAGGAATTTTCCACAGAATTTTAAGATTATATTTGAAATACCATCATAGCTTGATGAACTGTTATTCTTTAAGGATGCAAATGTACAATAATTTGAGATTCTCTTATTGGAATAGTTATATCAGGATGAAAGTTCCTTTCCTGGAATATTACAGTCAATATCATACTGTTATTATGTTCATTACATAAGAAATAATAACTTCCAACATACCAGCACTTCTTCCTTCAGCTGACCAAGTGGTACTTGTATGCCATTTATAGCTTTATCCAAACCATTCAAGTTGCTTGACAAATTAACAAAATCTGCATAATCTTTATTTATTAACTCTATCATTGCTGAACGAAGAACTTTCAAATACATTCCCAAATCATCTCGTAGCGTTTCAAGGTTTGCCTTCTTACGGTGATTCTGAAGAAACTGGTCCACAGAAAAAGATTTCTGCAAACAGGGAAATTGACGATGTTACTTTATTTGCTGTACTAGTTAATTGTATTAACCTTGGGCAAAGGGGCAGTTTTATCAATGTGTAATAGAAATATAAATTTGCTGCCTTTGTGACACTTGCCCTCTAACTAGCCTGTAATTAAATACAGTCAAAATTTATATCAACATATTGCCCTGGCGCCCACTTCACGTAAAAAATAATGCGGGCAAGTCTTCAAAGCAAGGAAACAAGCATATCATGAAAACAACATACACACGAAACCATGACACTGAACACAACGCACACACAGGTTTACATAAATATGTAAAATTGGGTAAGGATGTAAAATGAACATATTATACAAATTCATTTTGTTTTATTAAGAGCGCATTCATTCTAACCTTCAAAATACAACACGCCCACTGAGACAGAATTATATAAATAAACAAAATCTTATTAAATCCTTAATACCTTAATGAAGTCATTTTTATCAAAACACAAATCGCTGGGTCCAACGGGAAGAGGGTACACATCATTATTCTTAGCCATTGTCTCTTACCACTTCACCATCCAACATTAACCACATACATTGACAATCAGACACATCAGACCGCAACNTTAGATGGCTGGTCTGCATGTTTCCCTCTCCCCTATGGGAGTTACACCCCCCTGCACAAGATCGTCAAGGTTCTGTACTGTGTTAAATAGTACTGTGGTACTGTGTCTCCTGTGTTTATGACGTTGAGGAGGGTGTGTTCAAATGATGTATAATATGGTCAAACATGTTGTTTTGATTGTTTGTTTCCCTTATTTGTTTCTGTTCATCTACCAATTTATTGTGTTTGTTGTTGTAATATATTTGAAATTCCTCTTTTATGTTCATTATATTACCCTTATTAGCTTTTTCGATGATTACCATGACCGTTGATATTGGTCCGTATTGATGATTGTTTAGTATGTGTTGGGCGTAAGCGGATTCATCTATATTTAATCTTATGTTCCTCATGTGTTCGCTATAGCGTGTTGATAATTTCCTTCCTGTTTGGCCTATGAATACTTCATGGCAACTTTGGCAAGTTAATTTATATATACCACTTTGCTTGTATGGGTTTATGTTGTGTTTTTCGTGTAGTGTTCTGCCTCTTGTGTTGTTTGTTTTAAATGCTATCTTTATATTAGTGTTTTAAAATAGTTTTGTAATTTTCCTTATGTAGTTTCCTGTGTATGTGTAGGGTACCAATTTTTGGTCATTTAAGCTTTGTCATTAGGTCATTAGGGTTAGTCTATTATGTATTTGTGTGATATCATCTTTTTTATATCCGTTGTTTGGTGCAATATTAATGATGGTGTTTAACTCTTTATTTTTAAAAATTTTATATTTTAGCGTCCTGTTACACTGATTCATGTCCATGGTTTATGCTAACCGTCTCGCAATGTATACACTTTTTCACCTTATTCTTCACTTCCACACTACATGTTTCAGCACTAATGTGCCATCCTCAGCCGTTTCTTCAAGTGGTAATGTGAGTAGTCTATGTATCCAGTTTTTATATGCTGCTAGTTTTTGTTCTCTAGGATGGCAAGATTTATTATTTATTGTTACGTCTGTTTAATACAATTTTAAATACATTGAGAGGCTACCGTATGGAAAAGTGAATGTCATATCGCGTGCAGTGGAAAATCCCAATCAGAATACCCAGCAAATACGCTTAAAAGAAACAGCATAATCTACACTACAAGAAGCGTCATCATGAATGCCTAAGACAACATCAAAACTAACTGATAATAAAATTTATATAGTGAGCATTATTCATAGCTTAAGTGCATATCATTAAAACATCTTATGTGACAGTGTTTCCTGATCATAGTGGTGCGTTTCTGAGGATGATTCTTTTGAATCGAAACATGTAAGATGAATAAAGACTGAAGTGTTGTAAATTTGTATGTCACACTGGACTGAAAATTATCCACTTTGTAATTAATAGTGTGACGGACCAGAATGAGACAAATCAAATTAGATGCCTGCTTCTTTGTAAACAGCTCTGAAAACAGACAAAGAAGTACCTTTCTGGGCACTAATTACACAAAATTCACAGAATAAATGCAAACCACGCATGCTTCATCTCTGAAAATACTGTCATTGTGTTAGTGACTAGGAACAGGGATTGGATTGATCACTTAAAAACTTGCAACTACAGGTAACTATAACAGTCTGACTAATTTACACACTCTAAAGATAACTGTAACTACAGCACACATGAAGTCTATGTCTTCACTCGTTTTCTTCGAAATGGCATCTAACAATGGAGATCCTTCAGCTTTCTTGGTCGTCATTGCTGGCTAGCTACTGTCTCATAACTATCATGTGTCTAGTCCTGTAAACTGATGCTGGCCCACACCAGCACAGTCATTCTTAGTTTCAGGCTCCATTGGGACCCATGACCGAATTTATGTTCGTTCCAAGTTAAATTATGTGCTTCGAAATGGGGTCTCCTCTTTGCTAAAAGGAGAGGTTTGTCTTTCTAAGTAGGCACCATATTTGTTGCACTGTAATTTTTCATGAGTGCATCCCCACTCATGCAGCATTCAGGTAAGGGCATGTGTGCATCCTGGACACCATATGTGCCTTGTCACTTTACTACAATGAATAATGCTTATGCAGATATATATACATAGGACATCTGTCAATGCAGGCTTCTGCAGCGGATTATGCCTTCATTTATTTTGCCACTCTGAAATGGCAGTTAGACAATTGAATGGGTGAAGGTCTGATCACTGCCAAGTTTAAGCCTCTTATGTTTCTTAAGCATGTGTTCTCTTTGTCCAGTGGTACATACAGTTGGAATTAAATGAGTCTGGATGACTTCTGCCTGTTTCCTGCATAATCTGGTTACACATCTACACATTTAAGGAATTCTGAAAGCCACATGTATTTCACAGACCAGTGTACACCTGTCACAGCTTCCAACAATGCAGAGAGCTCTGTTCTGGGGTGCTACAGTTTCAAGAAGTGAGCATCTGCTACAAACACCCAGGTGAGAAAGGCATGAACCATTACTGACCAAATTATGGCTTTACAAAGAGTAAGTTTAATATTAATGCTTAAACACTCACTTTTGAATGGTCAGTCAGCCTCTCAGGTAAAGGAATGGTACAAGATACATAACAGAGAGCTCACTTGGATTTATGATGTTTATTTTAAACATCTTTTCAAACTTTACAAATACTTATATAAGTATACTGTCAGTGCCTCTGAATATAGAGCACCAAATGGCAATACAATTAATGAACAGTAAAGAGTACTATCTCCTGGGATACACAGACATATAGCCTGTTTAAAATCAACAATCTTTAACCCTCAAGGTGGAGGCAACACGTTTCTCTGAATGTTGAATGATTTTCAATGAACTACATGGCATTATATCCCAGAGATCGTTCAGTATTAAAGTCAGAAATGTTGCTACTTGAGCCAACTTATTCGGTTTCTGTTCCTTTGGTATACAGTTAATATGCAAGCACAATAACAACATGATAAGTACATTATTAAAAAATATGACAAGTAACATGAAAGTACAATCATAACTAAAAACATCAATGAAAATAATATGAAAATATGTGATTTATTATTTTGTAATATTCATTCGTACATATAAAGAAATAAAAACCATAGCAAAAACAACTGGCTTATAGGTGAATGTAAATAAAACTAAAATGCTGATCTAGAAGGAATCCAGGGCAAACTGGAGAAATTAACATGGAAGGGGATGGGATAGAAATAGTTGAAGACTTCATATATTTAGGATCAAAATTCCATAAAGATGGAGAGGATAATCATGAAATAACAAGAAGAATAAAACAAGTGAATAATGCATATTTCTCGTTACTATCAGTTTTTAGATCAAAGGATATACACCGAGCGATTAAAACAAAAATATATAAAACAGTGATAAGACCTGTGCTTTCTTATGGATGTGAGGGTTGGATGCTAAACAAGAAAGAGGAATCAGTCATCAATTCTTTCAAGAGGAAAATCCTAAGACGAATTTATGGACCAATAAAAGAGAATGGGGTATGGAGAATAAGATATAATAAAGAGTTATACAAATTATATAAGGAGCCAGAGATCTCAGTGATGATAAAGCTTAAAAGATTGCAATGGGCTGGGCATGTACAGAGAATGGATAAGGAGCATATCCCAAGAAAAATATTATACAGTACAATAGGTGGTAGGAGACGTGTTGGGAAACCAAGAACTAGATGGATTGATGTGGTGGAAGAAGATGCAAAGAAGTTAATGGGCGTAAGGAACTGGAAGAGAGCAGCGCATGATAGAGAGGAATGGAGGGGCTTGATAAGGAAGGCCAAGGCCCGACATCAGGCTGTTGTGCCATAGAAGAAGAAGAAGAAGAATATTCATTCATAATTTATATGATGTCATATGAACACTGACAGGATACAGCAACCAAAGGGCAAAGAGAAGCAAAGCAGAGTATCCAATACAAAATTCAATCCACTAACAATGCACTTTTATAAACAATGAAAAAATAACTATTAACTGTTCTGATGGAAAAAATAAATCAGCACCAGGCACGCAACAAGATCAATGACGCACACAAAATAACAACTGAAAATGTATGCAATTCCATTTGGGGTATAGAATTATACTTTTCCTCTTTATTCATTAATGACTCAAGAACAGAAAAACGCAGACACAAATATAAAACACTCTCTTTCCTGTGCAGGAATATCAGAAAAGTTTCTGAACTTTATATATTCCTAGCAATCAATCACAGGAAACATTTCTCACATCGCTAACCTTAGCAACGTGAATCAGAGTGACAACCTTCTCCCCCACAATGGTCTTGTCACCATGGGACAACTGCAAGTCCCTTTCAAGAGCACAGACACTCACCTTGCCAGGCTGATCCTTGCCCTCTGTCCACCACTCAGGGTAACACCCTTCTCTCCCCCAATGGTCCTGTCACCATGGGACAACAACTGCAAGTCCCTTTCAAGAGCACAGACACTCACCTTGCCAGGCTGATCCTCACCTTCTGTCCACCACTCAGGGTAACACCCTTCTCCCCCACAATGGTCCTGTCACCATGGGACAGCAGCTCGAAGTTCCGGTCAAGAGCACAAATACTCACCTTGCCAGGCTGATCCTTGCCCTCTGTCCACCACTCAGGGTGACACCCCTCTAGCCCACAATGGTCCTGTCACCATGGGGCAGCAGCTCAAAGTTCCGTTCAAGAGCACAGACACTTACCTTGCCAGGCTGATCCTCGCCCTCTGTCCACCACTCAGGGTGACACCCCTCTAGCCCACAATGGTCCTGTCACCATGGGACAGCAGTTCGAAGTTCTGTTCAAGAGCGCAAATACTCACCTTGCCAGGCTGATCCTTGCCCTCTGTCCACCACTCAGGGTGACACCCCTCTAGCCCACAATGGTCCTGTCACCATGGGAGAGCAGCTCGAAGTTCCGTTCAAGAGCACAAATACTCACCTTGCCAGGCTCATCCTTGCCCTCTGTCCACCACTCAGGGTAACACCCTTCTCCCCCACAATGGTCCTGTCACCATGGGGCAGCAGCTCAAAGTTCCATTCAAGAGCATGGACCCTCACCTGGCCAGGCTGAACCTCGCCCTCTGCCCACCACTCAGGGTGACACCCCTCTCCCCCACAATGGTCCTGTCACCGTGGGGTAGCAGCTGGAAGTCGCGTTCAAGAGCACAGACTCTGACCACTTGTCTGTACTGGTTCCTGTCCATGGGGTGCCCAAACAGGATGTTCTGCTGTACAGAACCTGTGAACAGCCAGGGCTCCTGTGATGCATATGATACTGATCCATCCACAGAGATGGAGCCACTGTTGAGGGGAAGTTCCTTCAGCAGTGATGTCTGCAACAGTAGCACACAGTCATTATAACATCAGCCTGTGTACCAAACCCCCAGCACTGCGCATTCCATCCCCTTTCCTACAACACCACTGCAGCTCACCTTCCCTGAGCTGACAGGTCCGACAACAGCCATAAGTTCTCTGGGTCTCACATCCAGATTCAATTCTGTCAGTGTGTTCTTAGGCAAGTCCTCCATCCACTGGCTGTCACATTTATAATCACAATGCCCTTCTTGCTTGTGGGACCTCCTATCTTCTCACGTAGCCTGTCCACTGTATCAACAGTTGTAATTTTGTCTGAGATCTTGGTATTCACAGGGTCCTTCACCAATTCAGTATCATTTAAGCTGCATCTGCACTCACACTGTTTGTTACTACCCTCCAACGTTGTCGTAATTTTCCAACAACTTCCCTCTTGGGTTGCTGCACTTGCTACTTCTTCATTCAATAGAAATGCCTATGGATACAAACACAAATGTACATATATTGATCTGCATGGACAGCATTATGAATATTGTCACGTGTTTAGAGACTAGACTCAGGGTTTGGATTGGTAACTGCATTTACTGGACTCTTATAAATCGTAATTACATAATTGTATAATTATAGCACTCTCGCTAATTTACACACTCTACAATTCCCTACAGCACACACTAAGTCTTCTCAGTTTGTCTTCATTAGTTGTTGCTCAGTAATGGATCCAATGTTCTCTTCTCTGCTTCTCACATCATTATGAAATGGCGGCTGTCTTGCACCTAACCCATGACTCAAACTGTTTTCACACTCTCGAATGCAACTTTCAACTGGCTGGATGCTTTAGCTACATAACATCGGGTTGAACCCAGTAGAAAACATCGTTTCCAAGTGTTCTCTATTGTGACATGTTCGTCACCAGAGAACTGTTTATAGGCCGTTTCCTAGCAAGGACCGTCCCCTCTGGCTAACTATACTATTCTATCTCTCTAAGATCCATTTCAATACTGTCCACCCACCTACGCTTTGGTCTTCCCAGTGGTGTCTTTCCTTTTGGCTTTCCCACGAACATCCCATATGCTTTCCTCTTCTCCCCCATTCATGCAACATGCCCTGCCCACCTCATCCTCCTTGACTTGAACATTCTAATTACACTTGGAGAAGAGTGCAAGTTATGAAGCTTCTCATTATGCAGTTTTCTCAACCTCCTGTCACTTCATCCCTCTTCAGTCCAAATATTCTCCTCAGCACCCTGTTCTCAAACACCCTCAGTGAAAGAATACTAGGTATGTTTATATATAATTATTCAGGCCACTTCTTGAGGATATTATGAGATTTACTCCCTACTACTGTCAGCAGGTGCAGTATCACAACAGAATTTCCGGATGCATTTCAAATACTCACTCACTACATTTCTTCTAATTACATGAGAATATTTTAATTCCACAGCTTGAATGGTGTTCCTTTGAGGTTTCAGCTAATATTGTGACACGGCAAAGAAAGCTTATTTTATTCCAGACAAAATACAGGTATATTCTCTAGTAAACACACTAATATCTTGTCACCTTCATCTAAGTTTTGCTAGTTGAATTTAAATCTAATAAACAGCATGAACATATCATGATTGTATATGTACGTAGGTAGGCTGAAAAGTAATGCACACATGCTTGTAGAGCATGAACGAAATGACCTTCAGAAGCTCGCCAGGTGGCATGTGGAAATAACATTCCCCCTCAATACGCATGTGCAGGTTTGAGGTCGTTGCATTCATCCAGTGTATTTCGAGAAGTGGAAGTTTGGAGACGTGTTCTAGTGCTATGTCAGCGCGAGTTAAACAGCGTACTGTTGTCGTATTTTTAACTGCTGAAAAAGTGACTCCTACTGAGATTCATCGTGTTTAAAGGCTGTTTATGGTGACGATGCTGTTGATAGATCTACTGTAAATCGATGGGTAATAAAGTTTCGTGGTTGCAAGTCTGGAAAAGCCATAATTGTTGATGAAACATGCAGCGGACGTCTGATCACTGCCACAGACGATAATCATCGCAAACTTGTCGACGATTTGATTCAAGATGACCGGTGAATCACTCAAAAGTGTATCGCAAACCATACTGGAATATCCAAGGAACGTGTCGGCTTCATTATTGAACAATTGGGATACCGTAAAATCTGTGCACGATGGGTACCACACCGTCTCACAGACGAGAGCAAACAGCGTCGATTGGAATGCTGCGAGCAACTTTTGCAGCGCTACCGTGACGAAGGAGACGACTTTCTTTTGAACATTGTGACGGGGGACGAGTCATGGGTCCATCATTACGACCCGGAAGAGAAAAGACAGAGCGCTGAATATCGACATCTGTCTTCTCCTCAGGCGAAAAAGTTCAAAACACAACCATCCACCAAAAAACTTCTTTTGACTGCGTTTTGGGATGCTCACCGAGTTTACTTGTATGTGACTGATTTTCTGGAACGAGGGGCAACGGTAAATTCTTCTCAGTACATACAGACTCTAAAACACTCCGGCATCGAGTTTGTCGTGTTAGAGGCAGCCTGGAGCCAATAATCTTGCAACATGACAACGCTCGAAGAAAGCAGTCTTCTGGGATTTGGCACCGTGTATATGTGGTGTTAACCGACGTTTCGGAGGAATATATCGCCTCCATCTTCAGGGTAGAAGAAAAATATAAGAAATCTGCAAGCGAAGAGACCGTGAGAACCGGTAGAAGCAGCCTCAAATCTTACATGACAACGCTCGTCCACACACCTCGCGCACAACTGAAGAGGCTCTGCGAAACCTGAAGTTTGAACCGATTCCACGCCCTCCTTATTCCCCCGATCTTGCGCCTTGCGATTTTTATTTTTTCCTCTACTCAAGAGAGACCTCAAGAGTAATCATTACACCTCGGACGATGAGGTGAAGGCAGCTGTCAAGTCCTGGATTCGAGAAAAGTCGGAAGAATTTTTCAGTGACGGAATGAAAAAACTTGTTACACGTTGGGAGAAATGTGTTAGCCTTAATGGTGACTATGTTGAAAAATAAATATATGCTTTTGAAACTTAAGAATTGTACTTTAATGTACTTTTTGCCCGATCTTGCTATTTGTTTTTGTTCGCACTCTACAAGCATGTGTGCATTACTTTTCAGCCTACCCATGTATATACCCGTTGGAATATTTCCATTTCATTCTTTTTCCAGGTGATAACCATGTTGTGGTGCCACAACTACAGCATGATTTAAAATAGTTGTGATGAAGGCTGTGCTTGAGCTAATTTTGACTTTATAACAAGAGAAATCAAAGGGGTAAAGAGAGCTTGGTTGGTTCCCGACTGGGGCAAGAAATGTTTCTCTTCTCCAGTGTCCAGACCAGCTGTGGCACCCACCCAGCATCCTATCCAATGGGTACTGGAGCTCTTTTCCTGGTGTTACAGTGGCCAGGGCATGAAGCTGACAACTTGCCTGCTATCCAGCATGTCTTCAAGGCGCAGGGCTTAACTGATTAAAAATGGAGAAGTTAAACAAACTCCAGGAAAAAATCTCTAACTCTTTCTTGATCAGTTTAGCCCAAATAAAATAAAGCCATTTTGTGCCAAAAATGAATCTACCTCTGCTTGATAAACAACACACAGTCCATACATGTGACCATCATACCCACATCTTACAGCGTGAATTCATTTCAAATAATCATATAATTGCTGAAGCAGACAAATGAGCAGCAGCTTTCAAAATTCTAGTTTGCAACGCTCCCAATGCAACACAGCTGTTCTGTGTGTGTAACAATTCTCATTCTGATAAGCAACAGTTTTCAAAGCCCCCATCTCGGCCTCCTATCTAGTCTGTACTGGGGATAAATCAGGAGGGGAGTGAAGGTGACCATTCACCTCCATCTTGTGCCATGGTCAAGAATGGCGGAAATCCACCTCCATGCCCCCCATGTGTCTATGGCATAGCGCTTAACTAATTAAGCATATGGTTGTCATTTTTCTTAATCATGCACTGACAGATCTGAGTGTTCTAATAAAATAATGGACTCGTAGTTTCTGTTTATATAACAATTATAGATTTATGAATTTAAAATAATCAGAATATAATACACTGATTACATAACAATTATAGATTTATTAATTTAAAACAATCAGAATACAATATATTGATTGCATAACAATTATGGATTTATTAATTTAAACTAATCAGAATAGAATAAATACATTCATTAAACAAAAATTGTAGAACTCCATGATTTATTTCAACCGTCTTCCAGTGCATACACTCATCTATCTCACTCCTCTCTCTCGCACTACATGTTTTGGCACAAAAGTGCCATCTTCAGGTGCTTATTCGATTTACGTTAAACTAGTTCACTGCATGCCTTGCCGTCTTCATATTAAAATAACTAAAATATATATTTATCATATATATTGATAAATATTGAATGTTAAAAATATTAAAATTGTTCAGGATTTTTCATCCCTATGTCATATCTCACTACGCGAGTCACACCTATTCTCTTCTGTCGGAGCACTCTTTCTACTTTCGTGTGTGTATTGTGCTTTGTGTTGTGTCTTGCTCCTGTGACTGCATGTGTTATACTGTGTGGGCAGTCGTCTTCAGAGCACTCCTACTAGGTGGTTGTGCCCGAAGTAATAAATATGTATGATAAGAAATGGCAGATTTGCAATAAAATAAGCATGTTCTTAGAGCAAAAATAAAACTATAAAGTTTGTGACTACAGTATATTGACTTACTTACTTACTCATGGCACTGAGCCCTTCTGGAGGAGCTGCCAATTCAGCAGCTACTCAAGGATTTCCCAGCATTTTATGGAACCCTAAGGTTCATCACTGTGTTCACAAGAGCAATCCACTGGTCCCTATCCTGAGCCAGATCTGTCCAATCCATACCATTCTATTTCTCTAAGATCCATTCTAATATTGTCCACCCACCTACGCCTTGGTCTTCCCTGTGGTCTCTTTCCTTCTGGCTTTCCCACCAATATCCTATATGCATTCCTCTTCTCCCCATTCATGCTACATGCCCTGCCAACCTCACCCTCCTTCACTTGATCATTCTAATGATACTTGGAGAAGAGTACAAGTTATGAAGCTCCTCATTATGCAGTTTGCTCCAAATTTCTGTCACTTCATCCCTCTTCAGTCCAAATATTCTCTTCAACGCCCTGTTCTCAAATACTCTCAGTCTTATGTTCCTCCATTAATGTCAGAGATCAAGTTTCACACCCATACAGAACCACAGGCAAAATTATAGTTTTGTGTATTCTAATTTTTTTTTTTTTGGACAGCAGACCAGAAGACAAAGCTTCTGGACTGAATGGTAGCAAGCATTACCCCAAGTTTAATCTCCTCTTAATTTCCTCCTGAATCAGGTTTAATTTGTTATGGTTATTCTTATATATCTGAACTGTGCCGAATTTTCAAAACATCTGTTTCCTACCTTTATGTCATGATTTTGCTCTGCATTTTGGTGATGAGACAGCAACATATACTTAGTTTTCTCTGTGTTTACTTCTAGACCAACCTCCTTACTTGCATCAAATAAAGCCTGTGTTTTTCTTTATTATATATTGTATTATATATATTATTGAATTATTTATCTATATTTTCACCCAGTAGATTCACATCATCGGCATAGACCAACAGCTGATGTGTCCCATTTAATTTCAGTCCTGCCTTGTTTTCCTGGACCTTCCTAATGGCATATTCTAAAGCAAAGTCTGCACCATAGCTAGAACGGTTAGTCACTGGCATCCCACCATGGCAGCCTGAGTTCAAACCTGTGTCTGGTCAAGTGGTATTTGTGGTGGACAAAGTCGCGCTGGGGCAGGTTTTCTTGGAGTACTTTGGTTTCCCCTGCCAATCTTCATTCCACCAAATTCTCCATCATCATAATCACCCAGGGCAGGTACAATAGGCCAATCAGTGGCCCCCATGCTGCATGGACTCAGCTGGACTTGACCCCCCAGTAGATCTGTCATCATAAAATATTATAGAGATTTGCTCATGTTTTGGAGGAATGTACTCCCCCATCTTCAGAGCCAAAGAGTAGGCAACACTCGCAGCAAGCTGACTTCGCTGTGCATCCCAGAAGGTAGTAGTCTCCAGTTCATATTCTTTTATTTAATAAGAGTGTATGAAGCTAGCATTCAGAATAAATCCTATGTACTAGAATTTCTGGCTACCCTTTTAACTGAAACATTCAAAATTCAGCTTTGGGTTTTAAGTCAAGTCTGTGTAATTAAGAGAGCATAGTCTTTCCTGTTTGCAGGAAATGCCTCTCTGTGTATCAAATGCAGTAAATCCGGATGTCCGATATATATATATATATATTTTGTGACATGTTGCGCAACGGAGGAACCCCACCTCCCCAGTGGTACGTGGCGGTAACGTAGCCCTCTCGTTACTATGGTAATAGGCGAGTCATCGCCCCGCCACTCTCCCCACGTTGATGTAACACGCAACGTGTGGTGACGCAACACAACGACATGGCACCGGTTCCTACTGTGACGCGGCACCGCTTCCTACTGTGACGTGGCATACAACAATGCTGTTGACGCGGGCAACAGGTAACAGCGAACGGAATATAAGCCGGCTGAGCAGCAAGCGAGAGCCAGTGTGTTATCAACAGTTCTCAAGGCAGCAGCCTGCGTGTAGAGTTGAAATATAGCAGCAGTCGCGAGAAGAAGACCCGAACGCGTGGTTACAAGATTTTATGTGACAGTGTGCGATAACTAAGAAGTCAGCGAGTGGAAGACTTATTGTGTGCTTTCGAGACTTTGTGTGTGGTGTAGTACAGTTATATTTGGAGTGTGTAATTCAGAGAGACTTGTATAGCTTCCACGTTGTTAATAAGTGAAGACTCTTGAAGATAGTGTGAAGAGATTTGGTTGTAGGGTTTGTAAAGTGTGGAAACCTGTAACATTGTTATAATTAATTGTAGCCGTTATTTGTAGGTTGTTAAATAAACCAATTAACGATCTCTACGGCGTCTTCAGTAACGAAACACGTTACAATATATACACTGTATATGTATATAATGGTTAAGCTGTTGAACTCTGTGCTCAGTGTAAGTTTTTAAATTGAATATTTGCTTCCAGGTTAATAATCAGAAATTGTCAATGCTTGTTAATAATTTTGAAATATGAGTTATGGGTACAATATTGTTAGAATTTAGTAAGCCATAAAAAGTATAATGGATTTTAGGAAATTAAATAATCCCATGTTCTGCTGTGTAAATAGTGGCAGAGAACAACAATTTCATGAAAAATTTCCACTCTTTAAGCAGGTTAGTAAGTGAGGTGAACATTTTTGGTTCTAACATCTTTTACGTGTAAAGAAATACAAGCTGATTCAAGTTGTCAGGTGGCATAAATCTGGTAAGGTTAGTGTATACATATGTTCTTACATGAATATCTTTTCATTTGGTGCATGTCAATGTGGTTATATAAATAATACATAAAATAATTTGTCATATCAATTATTCTTTGCTTTACTTCCAAAGTGACCTTGCTAAGGCTTTTGACTGTGTTAATTATGAGATATTGACATCTAAACTAGAGTATTCTGGTGTCCGGGACTGTATATTAAACTGGTTCAAATCATATCTATTGGAAAGAAAACAGAGTGTACATTAAAGCAAACGATGGGCAGGACTATTTTTCATCTTGGGAAAGAGTTAAGCAAGGGGTTCCTCAGGGGTTGGTTTTGGGACCACTTCTGTTTATTATTTACATTAATGATTTGCCTCCATATATTAATAAACTGGCTAAAGTTTTTCTTTTTGCTGATGATACCAGTATTTTGGTTACCAGTAATAATCATGCTGAGCTTAAGCATAAAG